ACCTGCGATCACAAGTGTCCTCGTGGCGCGCTTTTAAAAGACCTGATTTTTGGATCCTCCCTCTAAGCTGGCTCCGAGCCTAGCAGCCGTTCCTCCTGCCCTCTGATATTCCCCGTAAAGAGCTAGTTAGCATGAATGCTGTCTGGCCACTAGATGCTGCTACAGGCTTTTTTGTTGGGCGTAAATGCAGGAAAAAGTCCTGTTATATTATGGCACAACACCAGCAGACTCTCCCTATGCCTGAATAAGGGTGTTTGTGCCCGAAAGCTTGCAAAGAACATTTTAGTTGGTCTAATAAAAGAAATCACATCTACCAAAAGAATCTCATCTGCCTATGTCCTCATGTCCAAGGCTACAACCAAGAACCCTGTTATAATAGGTGTGATATAGTAGGTCCTATCAGGCCTCAATTGTGCAAGGGTTTGAGCCCATTGGGCTTTCTTCACACTTGGCTCATTTTATATCTGCCTTCCTATTGCTATTATATTCCAGTTTATGTTGCTCTTGAGTTCCTACTGTGTGCATTTTGGGTCATCGAGGGGGGGAGCAGGACCGTCTAGTAAATACAGCACTGAAAAGGGGCTCAGATGGCTAGGTGAAATTCTTGGCTCTGCCACTGCTTTGCTGTGTGGCCTTGGTCATGTCTCTTCTCTCCTTGGGCAGAACGCAGTGGTTCTCCGCTTTTTCGAGACTTGAGGCCCCCTCTCGGAAAGTGCCAGCTTCACTCTTTTTTGACCATAGAAATATATTATAGCAATTCTTCTGCTGCAAAGAAGTCAGATGCAACACAGCAGTGTTTTTGACTCTGAATATGTGAAACTGTTAAATCTCTGGGTTGATCTTGTGAATCATGTCACGGTGCTAAAATGATGTGGCACCATGGGGCACCCTTGAAAGGATCTCAAAGCACCCTGGGCACCCTGGTACCCTGGCCGAGACTCACTGGCCTCAAGGCTCACTTGCACGGTCAAGCCTCTGCCACTATAGCGGTGTAGGCAGAACACCCAGTGGGAAAAGAGCATTATGCAGCACAGGTTTTATTTCCAGTTTGGCCACACCTTGAACCCTCAGAAAACAAGCTCAGCTGTCAAAAGCTCTAACAACAGAGTGGCAAAATACAGAATTTTGGAAACCTGGGTTCAAGTCGCCGCTCCTTCATTCAGGCCCCTTACTGACGTAAAAAAGAGGAAGATTTGGTCCTTAATCTGTGACTCGGGTCCCTATCGCACTGCCTTTACCATCGCCAGAGTGCTACAAGGATAAATGCGCAGAGGATGGTGTCAGGTATCCAGGTTGTAGCTGTCCTGCTCTAGGGGGAAAAGCAATCAGGCTTGTGACAGAGGCGATATCTTTTTAGACCAAGATTTTTGCCAAAAAAATTCTTTAATTGCAAGCTTTCAGGTGCAAACACCCTTTGTCAGGCATCGGAGAAATGAAGGGTGTTTGTGCCCGAAAGCTTGCAATTAAAGAAATTTTGCAAAAATCCAGTTGGCCTAATAAAAAACATCACCGCTACCACGAGCCCTAGAGGATGGTGTGGTGTCCAGAAACCACATGGCGATTTTCACCCTTGTTTCAGTGTGGCGCTAACTTGGTGCAATAATTGCCCCAGAGGGAAACAGCTCCGTTTGGAGACAGAAATGTATATAAAAAGCCCATAAAATGGACAGTCGCTCTTTCAATCTATAGCTGAGTGTTAAAAGTTCCTCTAAAACTCTTCCAAAAGGAGTTATATCAAAAATTAATTCTTTTCCAACTAGACTTGGAGGGGGACAATGTTTTTCAAAAGTGAAATTTCAATTTTAAACCAAACTATTTTAAAATCCTGGGGGGGAGGAGGGTTCCTCCTACTTTCCAATGCTTTGTTACTGGATTCTGACTGACAAATACCAGGGAAAATAGTCAAAAGTGGGGAAGAAACCTATTTTTCATACATGTATAGGCCAGCAGAAGAGTAAAATGTGGGAGAAATGTGGGCATTGTCCTACCTTATCTGCACATCAAAGACCAACTCCCAAAGACACTCTCATGGACCCAGAAGAACAGTCATCCACCTTCAGCTTCCTTTGTGCAAAAATGAAGTTTATTTTCTACCTATAGAGATTTTTTTACCATCTTTCATTTTCCCCGAGTCTGAGGAAGGGTGTGCGCGCCTGCAAACTTGCAGAAAAAAAAATAGTTTTTGCAATTTCTTAGTTGATCTAATAAAAGGCATCATCTCTGAACCCAGTGTCCTAGAGTTTGGCCTTACTTTCTGAGAAATGTGGGAGCCTTTTTCTCAAGCCCGTTCCTCGTTAAAAGTGGTGACTTTGGAACACAATCAAAAGGACTGAAAGCAGAGTTTATCTTTTTGCCAAATATTTGCCCTCCCCAACATCTTCTAGTAGGGCAAAAATGGGGAGAGGGGGCAAGTCAGAAGTGGGAAAAGGGGGGAAATGAAAATTTTAAAAAATTATAGTTGTATCTGTCATCCAACCCACCCCCCGCCACCCCCTGCCAAATGTCCCACGAGGAGAAAAAAAAATCCTGCTTTTCAACGAGAGTTTATTTGTAGTGACAGTCTCTTAAAATGCAACATGGCCCATTTTTCAGGCAATAAGCACATCTACCGTGAGACGACTGCCTTCTTCTGGCTGCACCCTGAATGTCTTGGCAGCATGTCATAGGTCCTCTACTGCTAGCGGTTAATGGAGAGTCTCCTTTAGCCTGAGAGCTTCAGAAGCAAATGCATCTGTAGGCATATGGTGCAAAATGAGGTGAGCAAAGGTGGGGCAGGACAGCTGGCTATGCTTCTTGCACCCAGAAAGGAGGCATCTCTTAGCACATTGGGGTGTCTGCTTACTGTCTGGGTCATCTATGGCTGGGACGGGCACCCTGGATCACCAAGCAATCCCATGCTGTGTTGCTTGACCTTCTTGCAATGCTGCAACCTTTGAGCACGTGATCTTTCCTTCTGGATTATCCCAGGATCCCAGGGCTGCTGAGACAGCAGGAAATCTCTGCCTCAGACGTGGGGAAAGCAGCATACAGAATACCTGAGCCTTCTGCAAGGGCCATGCAGGGCCTCCAGCCTCCATCCAACCTGCCCTGAACCACCCCCAAATGCCCACATGCTTGTAAAGAAAAAAACATCTCCATCCACATCCTCCAAGACACTCCCATCTTATTATCTCTCCTTAAAAATAGACTAGACTTTATTCTGGTACAAAACAAATAAATAAATTACCGTTTCCCCAAATCGGGCTATTCCTAGGATATAAATAACACCAAGTGGCGGACAGGGTTCTGGTCCAAAATGAGGCACAATAAGTTATCCTGAGACGTGGGGGCAGCCTGCTCACCACCCACCTGGGAGAGAGCAAGTCAGACTTGGACAGATACAGGAGCCTGACACGGTGAGCACGTCCAGGCAATGATGAGTGAGAGTATTGGGGAGCCTATGTTACTGCTGGGAACCAGTTTTCACTGCATTGTTAGGGGAGCAGACCTGAAACTCCCCTGGAATATCTCGGTGCAGCCCAGTGACCGAACATCATATCCACGGTGAGAGCCATCACGTTGTATGCACAGACATACAGAGTTTTCTGATCTGGGTTTTGTAAGCAAACCATGCATGCATGCAAGCATGCATGCCCTCAGGCTCCTAAGCCGGCGGCTCTCAGGCTTTTTAGGCTCCAGGCACCACTTGATAGACTCGAGGCACCTCTTGGAAAATGCCAGCTCTTCATTTTAACTTGTTTTTTTGCCTACAGGAAAATAATAGAGCAAGTCTTCTCTTGCAAGGAACCCAGAAAAACCACAGCCATTCGGGATGTCTTTAACAGTAAGGATTTCTGTTTGAAACCTCTGGGTTTGTACATTATGTTTGAAATGCAAAAATCTAGGGCTCTTGGTTCAGAGATGATCCCTTTTATTTGACGAACTGAGAAATGGCAACAAAAAAAGGATCTTTTTCTATAATTTTTTTGCAATTTCTCAGCTGATCTAATAAAAGGGATCATCTCTGAACCAAGAGCTCTAGACTTTTGCATTTCTTTTGGTCACAGAATAGCACGGCTACCAAATATATCCCTAAACCATGTTTGCCCACCCAACAGTGGCACCCTTGAAAGGATCTCAAGGCGCCCTGGTTGAGAACCACTGCTCTAAGCCCGAGGCACTTACGGCTTTCTGAGAAAATTACTCAAGGCACTAAAAATGCCCTCATTTAGGACCCAATCCTGCAATCTCCGAGTGACGGGCCTGATCACAGAAAACTCGAAGGCTGGTGGAGGTACAAGGTCAGGATTGGGTCCAGCACAAAAGAGCAGCAGGATTGGGCCTGCGGGAAAGCTCCTGCTAAAGCAATCAGGGCCCTGGATTTTGGCCTGCTGCTCATTCTGCCCGAGCTCTGTCACAGCCCACTTATTTTATTGCAAATTCAGCAAAGCCCTTTTTTTGGTTTTTTGGGTTTTTTTTTTAGACCTGAACATCACACGTAGAAACAAAATCAGCCAGGGGAAAAGACCACGCTGGATTCTTACTGTCCCCCACCCCCCGCTTCCAGGGCTTTGCTCTCTAGCAGCTCAGCAGGACCTTGGCATTGATACAACACAGTGGCTTTGCATGCACGGGTGTCCAGGTGGGGATTTGAACTCTCCAAGGGGCAGACCTGTTCTCGAGACGTTCTGCGGGAGAGGGTCTGTGCTTTCCTGTAGTTCAGCTGAAAAGAAGACTCGCTCATGAGTTAGCCAAACTTATCCCCCACAGCCTTGTCATGGGAGCTGGCAATGCCACGGGGCAAGCTCCAGGGATGGCAGCGTGAGGCTGCCGGGCAGTGGGCGTTGCACACCATGGACTCATCCCGAACGTAACCCTGTATCTCCAGAAATCAGCCCGGCCGTTCAGTGACCCAGAGGAGCACCGAGGCCAGCGTGCCCCAGTAGCTTCCTCCATCCATCTGCTCCCTGGACATGGGCATCAACTTCCTACCACACCACAGCAGGAAGCTTTTGAGTCATTTAAAGCTCAATGTCCACCGCATCCTCCTCGGTGTCCTTGGTGTCTGTCAAGTCAGCAGAGACAGGCGGCGGTGCTCCGAACTGGGACAGCTTCGCTTTCTTCTGCTCCAGGCTTTGCTTCCTCCATTTGATCCTCCGGTTCTGGAACCAGACTTTCACCTAGGAGGGAACAGGCACGAGAGGCAGTGAAAACCCCTCAGTTTGCACCCGTCTCCGTGATCTGGGACAGGGAGTCTCTTGGCAATGGGGACCATGGAGACACTTAGTAATGGAGTAATGGAGACACAAACACAGCTGGAAGTGAAGGGGCAGTTGCTTTTTGGGGGGGGGAGTATCTCTTTACAAACATTGATGTAAGCCTGCACATCCCCAGGGAGGGAAACTGAGTCACACAGTGGTCATGTGGCTTATATTGAGCCAGTGTGAAATGGCAAACTGGGCCTCCAGCATCCAGCTCCCTGTCCCTGGCTCTAACCACCAAACAACTGCTTCCCCCCAGACCCCATCCTGCTTGTCCTCTGGTTAAATCTTAGGCTTCAGCACTGAATGAGTGACATCCTTGTCTCATTAGGAGCATTGGCTAACACCTGCCCGCTGGCACTTCACTCAATAGGACTCAAACTCATCCGGAAGATAAGTAAATAGGCAGCATTGCTGCCCTAGCTGAGGCATCTGGATGCCAAACCTCAGCACCCTGGGGATTTCTTGAGCAGCCATGGAACAAGCAGATACCTCCAAGGACAGGCCTGAGGATAGGCTTGATCTGAGCCAAACAGTGGAGTAGGACACTGCCGTTACATGGCGGGGGAGTGACTGGATCCTCACTGAACCCAACTGGGGTTTTGCCCTGGCTTCAGTGGGGGCAGGATTAAGGCCTGGGACTGGGGCTCGTACAGCTTGCTTTCCCCCCTCTCCCTTTTAGCGGTTTCATCCTTTGCCTATGGACCCTTTTCAGCTTCACCACATCAGAGGATCACAGACAACGAGGGCGGGAAGGGACCTCAGGAGGTCACATCTAGTCCAACCCCCTGCTCCAAGCAGCACCAGCCCCAACTACATCATCCCAGCCAAGGCTTTGTCTAGCTGAAGCTTCAAAACCTCCAAGGATGGAGATGCCACCACCTCTCTGGGCAGCCTGTTCCAGTGCTTCACCACCTTCCTAGTGAGAGAGTTTTTCCTGATATCCAACCTCAACTTTTCTTGCTGCAACTTGAGCCCATTGCTCCTTGTTCTGTCACATCCTTCCTAAATGTGGTGCATGGAGCTGGGCACAGTACTCCAGGTAACCAACACTGGGTAGAGCTGTACTATCCCCTCTTGTGTCTTGCATACAATTCTGTTAAGGCAGCAGAGCGTTGCATTGGCTTTTTATCCTGCCTTTTGGATGCTCTTATTATCCACAGACATTTCTTACCCTGTTTGCAGCCCACCAAGCTCATAGCCTCTCTGGGATCTTGTACAAATAGCTCCACAGGTTGGTGACTATAGGGGCCACGGTCTAGTCCACTGATTAGCAGGGATCCTGGTTTCATCCGATTGAAAACAATCCCCAATTTTCAGTTAAAAAAAAAGTAACCCCAAATCCACATTTTTCCGTGATTTAAATGAAACACCACTATATATACATACACGCGCACACACACACACACATACACACACACACATATATATATACATACATACACACATATATATATATACCTACACACACACCCCCACATATATATACATACACACACACATATACACACACACACATATATATACCTACACACACATACACCCACATATGTATACATACACACACATATACACACACACATATATATACCTACACACACATACACCCACATATGTATACATACACACACATATACACACACACACACATATACATACATATACACACACATACATACACACATATATATAGACATATACACACACACATTAGTGGTGTTTCATTTAAATCACAGAAAAATGTGGATTTGGGGTTACTTTTCTTTTTTTAATTAAAAATTGGGGACTAATCTAAATCAGAAAAACCAGGATCCTTGATGATTAGGTGTCTACGGGTTTAAATGCCTTAGCGTGATTAAGTGCCCCGTTCAAGTCCCTGAATATCCATTAGTGCAGCATTTCTCAACCTGTGGGCTGCAACCCAAAAGTGGGTCGCAAGAATATATGAAAGAGTTGTGAACAATCTCTAAAAATGGACTCGCCTTTAAAGGAGAAACATGGGGGAAGCCATGGGCTTTCCCTTGCAGACTGACAGAGCTCCCGCCTGCAAGGGGCTGCTTGGGGCCCCCCTGCCCCACAGACTGGGGAGCTGGGGCCTGGGGGCAGTGGGTCGGGACTGGCCATTGATGTTTATAAATGGGTCCTGGTAGAAAAAAGGTTGAGATCCACGGTATTTGTGCATCTACTTTTGCAATACGGCGTCCTCTGCCTCTTCAGACGGAGTCACAGAAAGCAGCGAGGTTGGATCCTGTTTTTCAGCAACTTGCACAAGATGAAATAGCATCGCACTTAGGCACCTAAATCCACTCGTGCAGCTAACTGGGGGAATGTGACGGGCTCTCCTTAGGGAGCTGAACCCTCCCTGTTCCTAGGTAGAATAAGCTACTTTCATCTGCAAAGGAAACTAGTAAGACCCCTCAGATTACAACACAGAGAGGAGCACTGAGACCATCTAGCTTGCCTCTCCCTCCCATGGTCCTGCCCAGCGCGGGCAACACAAAGACATCTCTGCAGGAGGTCTGGGACCCCGGCCACATCCCAGCTGGATGCCCATTTCCTACCTGAGTCTCTGTGAGGTGCAGGGTGGCTGCCAGGTCCACGCGTTCTGTGCCCACCATGTACTGCTGCTTGAGAAACTCCTGCTCCAGCCTCTCCAACTGCTCCGGCTTGAAGACGGTGCGGATCCTCTTCATCTTACAGGGCCCCCCTGACCTCCAAGGAACAGGAGGGCCCAGGGAGCCAGTGCCTACACAGCGAGACAGCTCCAGACCTGTGAGCAAGGGGCAGGTGTTAATAAAGGGGTGGCAGAAGCAACCAGACCCAAAATGCTCGCTCCTTATCCATGCACAGGACAGCACCCTTATTGCACAGCTTGCTGACCCTGCTGTTTCCCCACCTCCACTGAGCCATCAGGCCCTGAGACCACCTGGCACAGCTGGTCTCCAAGCACAGCCATCCCAGGGATGGAGAGGAAGCAGACAGCCACTGCCAGCTGGCACGACTAGGAAAGGCCTTCAAGACAAAAGGCAGGATCTTGGACGTGTAGCCAGCTCGAGTATACGAGTGACTAAGTCAGCAGGATCTGGCCTATTCCTAAACCACTCATCCCCAAACTGTGGTTGAGGGGCAACACCTTGCAAACACAGCTATGGGAGATGCTGCTTTCCAAGCTGGCAGGGAGAGCAAAGTCTAAGGGTGCCTGCAGCATGCGACTTGCTCGAGACTGTTGCTGCTGGGCCAGCAAAGCTCGGAGACCTGCACCATAAGGTCTTGCTTAGGCCCTGATCCGGCAATGACCTGATGTTGCTGGAACTACTTGTGTGTGTAACATGAATTGCATGAGCTAACACCGTGATAGGCCTGGGGACACGGACCATACATTGTCCAAAGCCAAGGGGTGCTGGTGCCTGGATCTCACACAACCCCAGGCTATTGCTGGCCTCACATTATCATCTAATGAATAATGCAATAAAATCTCATCAAAGCAGGGGCAACCTGCCCAAGAGCAGACGTGACACCTAAGGCTTGATGCTGCCATCACACACACACACAGAATTAACTTTACTCATGTAAATAACTCCATCCACCCAAAAGGGACGGCTCATGTATTAGAAGTGATGCCTGCATTTCTTTGCAGAGGAAGTGGGGAATGGACCTTAAAAAAAATGAAGGTCTTGGTCTAACCAGCCTTGCTCACACGAGCAAGCCTTATTCACAAGGATCGGTCATTGATTTCAGGGATCCTGCCATCTAGAAAAACGGCAGAGCCAAGGCCTCCACTGCATAGAAAAACGCAAAGTTAAATGAATAAAAAAGAAGGGTTTTAAACTAACAATTAGGAGAACACCAAAGGCCTAGGTGCGTCTGGATCCAAGGTGTTGATCATGCCTAGGGATGAAGACGGAGCTCAGTTTTTTGGGTAGATTTGGATCTGGCAAGGTTCAATGCGCTGGGAGCTCAGGGCTTTCAAGCAGGTTCATCCACCAGAAAGCATGGCCCCACATTGTCCTGATCCTGCCTGGCTCCAGACACATTAGCCTCTTGCTCCTGCTGACGGCCCCACGGAAGTTTGGAAGTTGAGCGATTGCTCCTGGGTGAACATGTATGTGTGCGCACATGGGTGTACGCACATGCACAAAATCAGGGCCATCGTTTAACAGCGTTTAGGTGACAATGCCTAGCAATGAGGTGTTTGGGGCATAAATATATGCATTACCCAAGTCCGCTAAAGGTCCACCGGAGCCATTGAGTAAGGCATGCTGGCGTCTCCGGCCCACAAAAGAGCAGTGGGGAGTGGAAAACACATATTGCCACCTTTAACCCTCCCTTTGACTCTCAAGCCCAATGACAAGAACAGCAGGGCTGGCTGGAGAAGACCTGCTCAGATCCAGGCAGGGCTCAGACTCAGGCCTCTGGAGCTGAATCAACCAACCTGCCTGTGCATTTTACACGTATACATGGCCTGGCACATGTACCGTACGTTATACAAGCACACGCATCCACACATACACCCCTGCACCTGCAATAAAAATATGTAAAACGTATCATAGCTATAAAACGATGCAGGGCAAGAATAAATTCCTGATAAAAACAGTAATCAAATAAGGCGTGGAACCCGTTAAAAATATTTGAGCTTAGGATGTGTGCAAATTGTGTGGCCACTGTTTCAGCTGCTAAACGGACACGGTTTGTTTAACCTAATGGCAGGCTGCTGATTTATACTAGGGGAAACAAATTTGTTCAACAGCGAATTGCACTGAAGTGACTTCGGTGCAGTTAGTCCGGTCCCCAACGTTACGCCTTTGTGTCGGGATTTGCCGGATCACAGCTTTTCATTAAAAACGTTAAATTATAGCCATTTATCATTTCATGTTATTTTTATCACTAGAAACATTTTCACATCAATGATTTCAAGCTCCCAGTGTTTTAGTAACTATATTTTGACACTTCAATTGTAATAGGTATGATTCAGAATGCAAAATACTGCCTTACCATCAGTTTGTACGTTGTCCCCCGTATCACCAAGTCACATCGTATCATATACCATATATTTCGTATCTCCTACCAGAGATCCTGCCATGTCCAGTTACATGACATGACATGATGTTTCTATAAATATTTAGGCACATAAGCGTCATGTATAGTACTCTGCTCTTAATTATAATTGACTATCGAATCCAGTCAGATAGCAAATTAAATCACGCAAATTAAATGGCTACACCAACTAGTCACAGGAGGGGTTTGCAGCACAGCGGATACGTTTCAGACCGACTCTTTCGGGCACGTGGATCAAATCTGACTTTCTGACACAGGCAAAAAAAGTCCTCAGTGCAGAGGGTGACTTTTGCTACGGACGCGTCTAAGCGATGGGACACGTCAGCCAGCTTCCAGAGGCTAACGCCTGCATTTTAAGCAAGGCTCTTCCTTGAGCTCAATGGGTGAAACCAGAGGAGCTGAGCTACGTAAAAAGAAGTAAGGATTTCTTAGGGGGATCTCTTTTCTTGGGGGATCTCTTTCCTTTGTTTTTTAGGGAGATTTCTTAGGGGCATCTCTTTTCTCTGAAGGATCTATTTCCCTTTTTTCTAGGGGGGATTTCTTAGGGCCATCTCTTTTCTTAGAGAGATCTCTTTCCTGTCTTTCCTAGGGGGGTTTCTTAGAGGCATCTCTTTTCTTTGGGGATCTCTTTCCTGTCTTTCCTAGGGAGGTTTCTTAGGGGAATCTCTTTTCTCTGGGGATCTCTTTCCTTTCTTTCCTAGGGAGATTTCTTAGGGGCATCTCTTTTCTTTGGGGATCTCTTTCCTTTCTTTCCTAGGGGGGTTTCTTAGGGGCATCTCTTTTCTTTGGGGATCTCTGTCCTTTCTTTCCTAGGGGGGTTTCTTAGGGGCATCTCTTTTCTTTGGGGATCTCTGTCCTTTCTATCTCGTTCCCTTTTTTCTTAGGAAGATTTCTTAGGGGCATCTCTTGTCTTTGGGGGATCTCTTCCTTTCTTTCTTAGGGGGGTTTCCTAGTGGGGGCATCTCTTTTCTTCCAGATATCTCTTTCCTTGGCGACACTTTTGACCGCAAGCCGTCCCTCTCCGGGTCACAGCGGTGCCGTGCCTAGCTTCCCATCGTTGGAGCCCTGAGGACAAACAATCTCACTCCCCTTCACCCAACTCCAAAACGAAAGCGCAATATTGCCGGAGAGACACGGCTTAACTTGAAGCCAGCGAGGTTCGCTGGGTGGCCGCGCTACCTTTGATTTGAGGGAGGAAAGTCGTTCTTGGCAAATGTTGGGGTACAAGCGCCCTTCTGCAGACGGAGCTGGGATGGGGGGAGGGAGTCACGAAGAAGGTTGTTTGCAGCCAAAAAGAACAAATTTTTCCCAGCGATTTTCCCTTAGGGTCCGGTCTGCCTGTGTCCCCGTCCCCCCCCCGCCCCCGGAGCGGCACTGACCTGTGGGCTGGGCGCAGGGCCCGGGGCAGAGGTAGAGCGCGGGGCAGGGCAGGACGCAGGCGAGGGGCAGCGCGGCCGGGGGCGCCCAGCGGGGCC